CCCCCCCCCATCCCGCCCCTCCCCCGCTAGTCTCGCTGGTGACGAACAGGCAGCGGACCAGAGGCCGATCGAGCCGCCAGGAAGGTTGGCATTTGACGAGGGACGTCCTGCCGGAGGCCCGGCCGGCGAGCTGACCGCCCACTGGCCAGAACAATCCAGAAGTCAGGGACCCGGGGGATGATGCGGCTAAAATAATGCAACAGGCACCGGAAAATCCACATCTAGGGTTTGATATTCCGCCTTTTTCTTCCCTCTTCCAGCCCCATCCACACCTTTCGAGAGGTGGGTTTAGCGAGAGACACGACGGGCCGAGGAAAGGCTCATGTCCATCCTCTTTTTGGAGCTGCATAATGTGTCCGGGCCCTTCCGATTGGAGGTTGGGGGTGGGACCGATTCGAAGGTTCGTCGCTTGTGCTGATGTTTCCTCTTTTTCGGTTCCAGCAATCCCCCGCCCACACAACACATGGCACCACCAGGGGACCGGTTCTCGGCGGCCTCCGGCTGTGGTCCTGCGGGCGGCCGGCTTGTGAATGTGTCCGTGGCGCCCGGCGGGGGGTGGGGCCCCGATGCCGGCGCAATGCCGAGTTCAACCGGATTTCCTTGGCCCGGCCCCTGGGCTGCCCCGGGTGGTTCCCTCCACAATGTGCCCTCCGAACGGGCACGCCAGGGTGAGGGAGGGAAACCCCAGCAGGGCGTCCGTCCTCGGGGGCCTTTGTGGGCCGGGTCCTGTCGAGGCGGCGGGGGGGGCCGAAACAGCCAGATCATGGATTGCAGGGTGTTTTTTCTAGATTGACGGGGCCTTCGAACCGGCGGCGATATTGGGCAATATTGTGGGTGTGGGTGGGGTCCGTGTCGTGATGGCCCCGGGGCGCGCCAGAAGGGGGCAAGCGCGTTTCCCCGACCGCTCGAAGGGGGGGGGGGGGGGGAGGGCCCTGCGAGAATGCGCCTTTTCCCGTGCCCGCTGCGCCGCATTTTTCATCCTCCGGACTGTCATCCTCCCTGCACCCCCTTGCGCCGAAGGGAACACACACACACGCCTGCGATGCCTCCGGCCCCGTTGCGTGGCCGGCCAACGGCGAGGTGACAGGGGCGTGAGTGCGCGGGAAGCGCCGTCCGCCCGTGGCGCAGGCCCGCAAGATCGGGCCCAGGCCTCCGTTTGATAGCTGTCGAAGGTGCCCATTCATGGTCCCGGGCAGCGTCGGAGCGACATGACCAGCGCGATCCGGCCCCCCCCCCCCCCCCCTCGGCTAGCGCGCTGCAAGTTTCTGGAAGCCGAAGCAAGATCTAGCCCCACAGTAGCGCGCGATCCCCCCGCATCCCCGCTCGGTACCGACCGGCCCTCCGGCCCCCGACGGCCCGGGTCCCAGGCCATGGGATATCTGTGCCACCTCGGAGTTGAGGGCCTGGCGCACCCGCGTGCGAGGGAACCGACACCCCTGTCCCTCCCTTCCCCCCCCCCCCCCACCCCCCCCCACCTGTTGCCTGCCTCGCCTTTCCCCCCGTGCCTTTCGCTCCTTTCAATGAGTGGCCGAGTTTTGGCACCCGGAGCCGGCGCCGCTGGCTCCAATCCCGGCCCGAACTTCACGCTTACCTTCGACTTCGGCCCGACTGCTGCCGACCGCGCCTCCGTCCGGTGCTTCGCCAATCGGCCAATCCAGCTGGCCCTCGAGGATGCCTGCTTCCGGTTCGCCCGTCGCCAGATTGCTGCTGAGGACCTGCAAATTATGTGCGTTCCCTCGGGGGTTGGCTTGTCTCTTCTTCTTCCTCCTCCTCCTCCTCTTCGTCGCCTCTTCGATCACCCCCCACGGTGCCGCTCGGTCTGACATCTGTGTCCCCTTCTCGTTCCCCTCCCGCCCCCGGTCGTCACTCGCCCCCCCACCCCCCCCCGAAAGCTGGAAGCGCCAGCCGATTGATGCCTCCCTGTCACCGCAGCAGCACGGCATCACCTCCGGCACGGCCCTGCCGACCGCCACCCGGCGCGGCGATCTCAAGAGTGCGCGTCTTACTCCACCAACCATTGCCGGCTCTCCTGCGACCAGATCATGTGCTGAAACACCTTCCAATGCCCTTGTGCTCCGTTGCCCCAAAAGGCCGCGTGTCGTTGGTTGTGCGCACGGACCGCGGGCAATTCCGCCTGGCCGCCGAGCCCGAGGCCCGGCTGCTGGATGTGCTGACGGCCCTGCCTGGGCTGCAGCCGGGCTCGGCGACGGCGCTCGAGCTGGCCCCCGGCGCCCCGGCACTCGACGCCTTTTTGGCGGTGGCCGCCGGACGGACACCCACCCTGCGCATTCTCAATTACCACTTGGACGAGGGGTGGAACTTCCTGTGGCGGACGCGCCTCTGCTCGCTTGGGCTGCTCCAGCGTGCTGGATCGGCCGCCGCCGCCGGGACCATTCTCTTTGAAGTCCGCTGGCGCCCGGCACGCGAGGCGGACCCGGCCGACCTGGAGTGCCTCCGTGCCAATCTCGCTCGACCGGATTGCCGCAACATCGAGCACCTCCGCCTGGTGCCGGTCGCCAAGCAAACCACCGATCCGGCTCCGGCCACCGGGGAGTGGGTCCTCTCGCAGCTTCCCTCGCAGGCCCAAATCCCCGAAGGTCTCTTCGAGCCGCCCTCCCCCGGCGAGCGCTCGATCTTCGCGGCCCCAGACCGGCAATCGACCCAGGCCTCCGAGATGCCGGCTGACCGGACGACCACCGACCCGCCGCCGGTCGTCCACACTGCTCCGGCCCCTCGGCGCAGCCCGACCCCGGCCCATGCCCCTGCTCCGGCTCGGGCCACGGCCTCCGGTGTGCGCGGCTGTGACTGTGAAGGTTGCCAATCGGGCAACATTCTGGCTCACCGACGGGTGATCACCACTTCCCAGCGTACCACTGTCCCGGGCTCGCTGGAGCAGGGTGCGTTTTGTCCATATTTATATCTGTCCCTCTCTCCCTCCCCCCCCCCCTCTCTCTCTCTCTCCCTCTCTCTTGCTTCCTGTTGCTTTCTGCTGCTTCCTGCGGCTGCTGCCACTCGCTCCCCTCCCCTCTGCCCGCCCTTTGCCCCCTTGTTCTGACAGCCAAACCTCCCTCCCCTCTCACAGATGCTAGCGACTCCTTCTATGAGCTGAATAATAACGATCTTGGTGCGGTGCTCTCCAGTCTCCGGAGTGCCGACCAGGAGGCGCTCAAGACTCGGGCCATGCGCGATAAAGAACGCCAGGAGACACTGGCCAAGTTCCCGGCCGTATGTTTTGCCAGTGTTGCTGTTGCCCCCTTTGCTCCTCCCTACCCCCCCCCTCCCCCCGCCGCGCCATGTAACTGACACTCCTTCCACCCGCTCTTTCCCCTCGGTCGTGTCCCCCTTTCGCCCGCACCCAGACGTGTATTCGGTTCATGTTTGCCGAGCGCTTTGTCCTCGAGATTGCCCTGCCCAGCAACTCCCCGGGTACGCCAGCGTGCCCCCTTTGCACTCCCACCGTCTCTGCTTTTCTTTGTCTCTCCCCTTCTCTCTCTCTCTCACACACACACGCACACATACACACATATGCACACGCGCACAAACACTGACTCACCCATACACACAACAGTGTCCCTCGTCCACCAAACACTCCTGTCACTCGCCCGACCGGAGATTCGTGACCAGCTTCTCACCTGTGCGCTGCGACCCCCCCCCCCCCCCCCCCCCCCCCCCTCCTCCTGCCTCTCCTTTCCGCCCTCTTCTGCCCCTTTTGTTTCCTCCCCTCCACTTCGGCCCTCCAACCAACACACCGCCGCCCACCCTGTAGATACAACCCCCCCGCGGACTCCGCTGGTCGGCAGCCCGGGCCACCGGGCCTCAGCCCGAGATCCAGTCGACCTATTCGCGGCCGGCCTCACCCCGGCCGCCATTGTGCATGTTGGCCAGGCCGGAGTGCAGGCATCTCATGCTCGAGCTGACGCGGTCCTTTTGCCCGAGCATCTCGCAACCGGACGTACTTAAGGGATGAGCGTGCTCCTTCTGCCGCCATCATCAGCACCAGCACCGGCCCCCAGCCCCGGCACCGCCGTCAGCACACACACACACACACACATGCACAATGTAGCCCTCTTTTCATGTTCTGGTTGGTATTCGCGACATGGGGGGTCCAATGTGACGATGGTCCCAAGTGAAAGAGCGGGAGACCGCACGAGGAAAAGAAGAGGAAGAAGCAAGGACATGGCTCTATTACGGCATTCAAAGGGGCGAGGAGTTAGAGAGTGAGAGGGCTCTTGAGGGCGGCTTCACAGGCTCGTCTGCCCTCCCTGCCTTCAAGGAGGAAAGAGGGATGGTTGGCAGCACGGGGACGCCAAGGCGGATGGGTGGGAGGAGGAGGGGGGGGGGGGACGGGAGGGAGGTGACGCGCGCCCAGACAACACCACGGGGTCAGGCAAGGTAGGGGGGCGAGGGCAGGGGCACACGTGGGCAACACCCGGTCGGGCCGGGCGCATTCAAGCTTTGCCGGCGGAGGCAGCGGCCACCGCAGGGCGACCAGCATTGGTTAGGGCAGTGCGGGCACCGGCCGAGGGGCCGGGCTTCATGGGGGCCTCGGATCCGGAGGCCTCCTCGTCGGAGTTCCCCGGCAACACGGTGTTGGCCTCGACCTGGATGAAGCGCTGCGACGGCCGATCGAACACATAACCCACGGTGCCGAGCTCACCATCGAAGCGGTTTTTCCGCACATCAAGATAGCGCCCACGGCGGTTACGCTGGAGGATGATGACGTTGTCGGCCTCCTGGGTGGCCTTGGCCGTGCCGAACACCGAGCTCGTCATCAAGGGGACATTGTCATCCTCCTTGCGGGGGTGGATGACCACGGTGATGTGGATGTTCTTCTCCGAGGCAAAGGTGCGCAGTTGCTCAATGGCCTTGTCCTGCATGTCGAACCTGGGTTGGGTGGGTGCATGGGTGGGTGCATGGGTGCATTAGCATGGCGTGTGCGTGTGCGCGTGTGTGTGCGTGTGCGTGTGTGTGTGTGTGTGTGCGTGTGCGCATGCAGAGAGAGAGGGAGGGGGAGGAACATCGGAGCAGAGGGAGCTGGGAGGAAGGGAGAAACCGGCAACCCCGGCAACCCCGGCAAGAAAGCACACGCACTTCTCATAGCCACCCTTCCCCTGACCGGACATCATAAACTGGAGGTTGTCTAGGATGATGTGCTCGACGTCGTGCACATAGACCGCGTGCTCCATGGCGTCGAGGACGAGCTCAACCTTGGTCGAGCCGAAGAACCGCAGGAAGTGCATCGGCAGCCTCTCGAACATGTTTGCCCACTTGTCGAAGTCCTTCAGGCTGTCCGTGTCGAAGCCACGGCCAGCATACTGGGAAATCATCTTCTTGGCCAGACGAGAGTTCCGAATCTCGAAGGAGCCCCACAGGGTGGACACCCCCTGGACGCAGTAATCCAGCGACAGCTGGCTGAGGAAGGAGGTCTTGCCGGAGCCGGTGGCCCCGGTGACAATGGTCAGCTCGCCCCGGCGAAGGCCCTTGATGATGCGAGTCAGCCCGGGCAGAGTGCGCGAGGGGACACCGAGCACCCGAGCCGGCTGCATGAACTCATTGTAGATTTCGGTCCGCAGAGCCGTGAAGCGCTGGATCTGCTCGTGCGGGATGCGCTCGGCATCCAGCAGACGCCGGAGCATTTGGCTCCCGGCGGCCGATGGCCCGGCGCCGGAAGACATGTCCACCTGCAGGAGCTCCATGGCTCGAGCCACCTCCTCCGGCTGGAGAGTCCGACTGCCGGAGTCCACACTGTGGTACGTCTGCAGGATGGTAGACGGCTGGCAGGGCTCGGCCGTGTCGCGGCTGCCATCCTCCCGCACCGGCGGCCGGACGACGAAGCACCGATCGCGGCCGAGCTTGCGGGCAAACTTGTCGGCCGCCTCATTGCCCGCCACATCGCTCGGGAACCACAGGTAAATCCGGGAGAAGTGCTCGAGCAGCGGCATGGAGTTGATCGGCAGCGACAGGTAGTCCAGGGGCAGGGCCACCGCCGGGAGGCCGGTTTCCTGGGTCGCGGCCATGGCATCCCACTCATTGGCCGTGATGATGAGGCCCTTGCTGGGGGATGATACCACGGTCGGCAGGCCGAAGAGAGCCGTCTCGCCCTGGCGTGGGTCCAGCTCGAAGCTCTTCGAATCTGTGGGGGCAGGGATCTCGCCGGGGTCAGAGGAAGGAGGAGGCTTCCGGCAAAGCGAGCGAGCGAGCGAGCGGGCGGGCGGGCGGGCGGGCGGGCGGGCGGGCGGGCGGGCGGGCGGGCGGGCGGGCGGGCGGGCGGGCGGGCGAGCCAGGCAAAGCCCCCGAGCCAGGAGGAGCAAGGGCGCACCTTGGATGTTGACCAGCTTCACACGCAGGAGATCCCCGGTGGCCAGGGTGCCTGGGCCGGAGGAGGTCGACTGGCTGTCCTTCTGGGTGCAGGAAAACCATGGGAAGGCCAGGTATGGGATTGTCTGGGTGGCGGCGACTTCGGCTTCGTCTTGCGACTCGACCGGCTCTCGAACCAGTTCGAAGATCCCGACATCAAATTGCCTCAGGGTGTCCTGGTGGATGTGGTGCTGTTCCTGGATCCAACCAATCACCTCGGGGCTCTGCTCAAGAGCTGTGGCCGGAGGGGGGGGGGGGAGTCAGCAAAAGGCCATGCACGTGTGCATCTCAGGGGGGGGGGGCGGAGCACAGAGGCATGCATGCATATGCGTGTGTGTGTGTGTGTGTGCGTGCGGTTTGGGGGAGGCAAATGCCTCGTGGGGGCACGCACAGATCCGGATGTCATCCAATGTCATGGAGGGCGGATCGGTCGGGCCGGCCCCGAGGCCGGTGCCCCCGACGCAGGTGCTCGAGAAGGAGGGCCCATAGGTGAGGCTCTTGAAGTCATACCAAGACCCGCCACCGCGACAGGCGCTGCAAAAGAATTTCCCATTGCTGGGGGCGGCGGTGGGAGGGACAAAAAGGCGGGGAGTTTGGGGAGTCAGTAGGCCCGGAGGCGGCCCGGCAGCGGCAAGCAAAAGCACCTGAGGGTGCATGCATGTGTGTGTGTGTGTGCGTGTGCGTGCGTGTGCGTGCGTGTGCGTGCGTGTGCGTGCGTGTGCGTGCGTGTGCGTTTGGAGGGAGGGGGGCAGTTCCACATGCATGCGCACCTCTTGTTGATGGTCAGCGACCAGTTGGACTCGGACAGGCGCATGGTGCGACAACGGATGCAGTGCTTCACGTGTACGTCCTCCCCGACACTGGAGTTCTCCATGCGATGGAGCTGCAGGAAATTTTGCACCTCAAAGGGCGAAAGCTGGAAGTACTCCGACACAAAGATGCCGGCACCGGGGGCGGGGCTTGTGCTGTGGTTGCCGGCATGGCGGGAGGTGTGTGCCGGCCGGGGGCCGCCACCGCCGCCATACTCGCGCCGAGCCACCGGGGCCAAAGGCCGAGCCACCGAGGGAATACCAGGGCGCGGGGCCAGCCGGCCGCTGGCTAGGGTGATGCGCCGCAGCGCCGCCCGCTGCTGCAAGGCAAGACGCAGCATCTGGGTGGCTGGGGAGGGGAAAGGGCGGGAGCAGCTATGGGCAAGATGAGAAAGAGGGAAAGGCGCGAGGGAGGAGCAAGGGGGAGGAGGGACAGCCGGGCGGGCGACGCGTGAATCGATGCCAAGAGGAGGGGGACGCACACGGCAGGGGAGCTCCAATCAGGAGAAGGCCTCAAGCACAAAGAGGGGAGGAGGGAGAGAGAAAGCGGAGGGAGGGGCGGCAGCCGGCGAGGGGGGGATGAGGGTGCAAGCGAGAGAGGAAGAACACGCGAGCGTGGGCGAGGAGGGGGAGGGGAGGGGGGGGGGAGTCGGTGTGCAGCTGACCTGGACGTTGATGGGCGCGCGAGTGTGGCACTGGAAAAAACATCGCCCCCGAGGGAGGCGCCGAGGGGCGCGGGCAGGCGAGTGATGGCGGGCCGCCGAGGAGGGGGGGGGGGGGCAGAGCCGCCAACACAGCCCCAGCCTGCGAAGCGGAAAAAACGAGCTCCACCATGAAAATAAAGCTCCACCCCCAACAGGAGCCCGCCCAAACGCCGGCCGAAGGGAGGCCGGTGAACCGGCCCCTCCGGGTGAACATGCAGGGGGGGGGGGCGGAGGCCCTCCGTCGTCACCCGGCCCAAGCGCGGGCCACCCATGTGTGCGTGTTTCCCTCGCGCGGCTCGTGTCCGGCGAATTCTCGACCCCGCGCGTGCACGACTCCAGGTGGGGCCAACGTTCTCGCAAATCCGGGATACCCCCTGGCCGGAGGGAAAGCCCTTCAGCCATACCACAGGGGGCGGGGCCGGGCCCGGCCCGGGCCAACGACCCGAAGGCGGCCTGTCTGCTTCGGGAGGACCACACCGTGCGCGACCATGGCGCCCCCCGGCCGGGGGCGGAGGCCGAGCGCACTCTGCCCGCGCATGTCGCCCGGCAGGCGGGGACAAGGCGGGGGTCCGGCGCTGGTGGGCCAGCGCGTGCGGGGGGGGGGGGGGGCCCTGCCGAATTGAGAGCCGGCGGCCGGTGGCCGGCCCGGAGCATGTTCAATCGCGAGTGCGCTCACCGCGGCCCGGGGAGAGCGATCCTCCCGACCTCCTCCCCCGGAGCGATCTTGGGGCTTCGAGCTCTCGGGGGCTGCACCCCTGGCAGTGGAGCACCCTCGTCTCCCCTTCCCCCCCCCCCCCCCCCCCCCCTCCCCCCCGCCCGCCCGCCCCCCCCCCCCGGAGGCCAGCGGGACAACCGGGCCCCCCACGCCCGCGCCCCCCCCCAGGCAAGGAAGGATGGGCACAAACGGGACCGACCACGCACACGCACACACGTACACGCACACACGTACACGCACACACGTACACACACACACACACACACATATACACACACACGGGCCGCGTTCCCGCCACTCCCGGAGTGACCCTAGGGCGTCGACGTACTAGAGCGTTGGCACACGCTCCCGGCAAGACACCGAAACACTATTACGCGGTTCTGCCTTTCCAGACCCGCGTCTAATGCCACCGGAGCGCTGGTCGCGCGGCCCTGCCCACCAACCACGCCCGACGGGGCGCTCGCCACGGCCCGGTGGCCCGGGCGAGTCTGCCGAACGCCCCCGGGGCCAGCGGCGATGGCCGAGGGTGCGATTCAGACTTGTGCCCCTGCCGGTTGGCGGTTGCGACGAGAGAGAGAGCGAGCGAGAGAGACGCCGGCACGTTGCCGCCCGATGCCCACCTCCCCAGCGGGGGAGAGCCCCGGGCAGGAGGGGAGCGAGGGACCGGGGGGGGCGCCGGCAGGGAGCCGGAATCGTGTGTTTTCACGTCCTCTCCTGCGGGGCCGCCTCCTCCGGCTCTTGCGATCCTGCCCGGCCGAGGAGGGCCCAGGGGCGCTAGCTGACCCCGGCAGAGCCATGCCAGGGGAGCGAGATCCACTCCGGACAAAAGGGGTGTTGCCCGGGCCCCAGGGGGTGGGCCACGGAGACAGCATTACTCTCCCTCGCCCTCGCCCCCTGCATCTCAGGGGGGGGGGGCGGAGCACAGAGGC